TTGCAATATCGATTCATAGGGCACGAGATCGATTTTTCCCCATGAAGTTAACCGCAGTAGTCTCGTGCGTGATGACGCAGCAGCGCACAAGCGTGCATACACAAAATGGCCGACGCAGGTAAAACCCCGCTCAGCTGACGTCTGGAAGCATTTCAGATTTAAAACAACAAAACACAAAGAGCTGGATAAAACCAAAGTGGACCATAACGTAGTGTGGTCGAGCACCTGAATGAGCCGCTTGAAGCCTTCGTTTTCCACTGACGAGTACGGCGGGAATCTGTTATGTTTATGACCCGCGGAGAATCGGCTGGTGATGTTAGTGACTCCCTCAGGTTCTTTGGTTTTTGCCCTATTTTCATTATTTAAGAGCAGATGGAATCGAACCGAACCGTGATTAATCGATTCAGAACCTTCTGAATCAAATCGATTTAGGAAATTGGCCACGATACACAGCTTTACTCTTGATGAGCTCCAGACGATAACGTGATGTGTGAATAATGATCAGTAACGGTTTGAGAGTTGAATTGGTTGATGGCTTTATTACTTTAGTGTCAGTGCTGATGACTGCTCTGTATTGCTTTATTGGTTTTACAATACAGATGTTTATTGTGCTTGTGATAATGTCTGTTAATGTTTAAGCCAGTGTACATAATAAATATATATTTACATTCAACACGAGATCATTTATTTATTATATATGAATTATTATTGTATTTCTCTCTTTCAGACACTCAAACTGTCTGTGAATCATCTCTATTGTTTCCTGAGGTTAAACTTCCTCCAGCTGTTTCTGAATATTCTTAATTACAGACTTACTGAAGCTCACAGAAACAGATGTGTCACTTTAACATCTGTATTTCATCCATTAAAGCTCTCGTCCGGCTGCTTCCCTTCAGCACAAAACAAAATGGACTCCAACCCGATGCCCAAGCTCCGGCTCTGATGTGGAATATAATTTAAATGAAGTGTCTGTCTGTCTGTCTCTTTATTTAAAGTCCTCGTCACTCCGTAGGCAGCGACCTGTCGCAGGTATTGATCAGCGATCGAACACAGCCTCCGGGACCGACAGTGAATCCTCAGTCAGGTAGCTGCCGATCAATCAGTCCATCAGAAACTCAGTACCTGACCTCGGTGCTGTAACGTTATTCACTGTGGGTCTCTGAGGCAGTGTTCGATCCCGGTCCGGCGGCTCAGCCCGGTTCTGAAGCCCGCTAACCAGCAGCTAGCTACATTAGCTAAAGCTTCCGGTCCATCAGAAACTGTTGAAGCTTCACTGATGCAGTTACCGTCGCTCTACAGCGGCTCTCCGTACAGAAGAGAGAGCGCCTGATTGGACGCAGCGTTAGTAAACGCCCCCGAGTGCACGATGAGTCATCAAATACTTTTATTGATTATCAGGAAACTCTGAAACACGACTTCCTGTCAGTGGACAGAAACTGGAGACGTTTAAAGACACCGGAGATAAAAACATTTAACCATTACTTTGGTTCCATGGGGACTTTAACGCCGTCTTACAGGCGATTTCTGGACGCGTTCGTGTTTCTGACTCCGACTCCGTAAATACAGTCGCTGGATAATCTGAATATTTGCCGCCCTGTTGCATCTTTGTCCTTCCTCTTTTTGGCGCCTCCGCTCTTTTTTTCTCCAATCAAACGGCGGTTTAACCTCACAGTGCCGGGGTCCGCCTCACCGTCTGTACAATCCTGTGGACCACAAGGCCTCTTTACAGTCTTCTTTGTCCTGCCCCCCCCCCCCCNNCCTGCAGAGCACATTAAAGCTGGGATCTTATTTTTGTTAAAGCTGGCAGTGTTTCAGCCTGTAGCCGCTCCTCTTCGACCTGTTTGGATCTGTATTATTGTTAATGGATCTGATGTTGTGTTATAATCTTTACATTGGGCTTCACCTCCACTCTGGCACAATTAAACCCTCATTAAAAAGTTGCCCTGACCCATTTCAGCCTGCTGCCGTCAGTGTTTCTGCACACTGAGGCCTCTTTGTCCTCCTCAACATATATTTTAAAACCTGCAGGCCTCACTTTCTCTCTTTCTCCCAGAAACCCGTAACGGCCTTGCTCAGTTACGCAACCCCGCGTCAGCGTGCTGTTGGAGGGGAGAGTACCCTGGACAACTGCTTGTTTGCGTGTCTGTGCGTGAATATGCGTGTGTGTGTGTGTTGCGTTGTGTAAAGGCTGCCTACCCACGACTCGTCCTCTCTGCTCCAGGCGGCGTGTGTCGGTGTGCAGGCCGTGCTCGGTGCCCTGCCCTCCGGGAGGGGGCTTACACTCGGGCTTTGTTCTGCCACCGTCCGCCCTCTCGTCCCCCGCCGTCGTCGTCGCCTTCCCCGCCGCCTTGTTCTTCCCAGCCACCGGAGAGCCTCCTCCGCCGTCCGCGGGGTTGGCGGTGGCTCGGCCCCGGTTCTC